AACAGTCTCTGGCGCTGAGCTACAAACACTCGTATCAGTCAACACTGCTCTGAACTGAGCTGAAACGAATCAAAGCAGAAATGTCTCAGTGTAATCAAAGAGATGCTTTTGTGAGTAATAAAATGTCCCAAAAGAAATCCATCTTCTACCTCTGATAGAAAAAACTCGTAAAGATGACATTCTTGCTTTGATTGTAGGAAATTGGAAATACTAAGAATATATGAATCGAGACTAATCTGTTTAACATGCCGACAAATTATTATGTAGCAGAATGTAAAGGGTTAAATTGTTCCCCAGATATGACAAATGTTCAGTCTTTGTTCTGCAGGGAAAAGAAATATGATTTATTTTCTGTGATATAAGACTGACTATAGTTCAAGACTATAAAACAGGCCGCTTGGTCACAGCATACATTTTGGTAATTGAAGATGTCTCCTCCTAATTAAATTCCACTTTTGCAGTATGAAGACACAATGGCAAAGGGCTCTCTGCACCAAAGACAGAGACAAAATAAAAGGGCCCCTACCACCACTTAAAAATTGTGTATTATGAAATGACATGATGTAAACGTACACAGACAGCGCAATTGTTCCTCAGCTGAGACACTCCAGGTCGTGTTGAGCAGTCGTCCACTCTCCATATGGCTTCAATGGAATTTATGTTGGGCAGGCACCAATAAGCCAAATCTAGTTAGCAACATTATATCATTGGAGCCAAATCTAATTTCAGCCCCAGTGTGTTTTAGTCGTCAGTGACTCTCTCTCTCTCTCCCCCGCACCATCTTCTGTTCTCTCTCTCTCTCTCTCTCTCCCTCTTTCTCTCCGTCCATCCGTCCATCTCTCTATGTGAGTGTCACCTGCCCTCCGAGCTGGCGACGCTGGGTCTCGGCCTTAGCGTGAGAGCCCCATTACGCTGACTGGAGGCTTTGTTTTCCCTGTGAATCTGCGAGAGAGTGTGTGTCTGTGTGTGTGCGTGTGTGTGTGTCTGTGTGTGTGTATACGTGCTGGAGGAGAATGTCAGAGAGACGGTGATTTGTTACATCAGCAAGCATTCCTGCTCTGAGATCCTCTGAGTGTGTGAGCAGAGACACATATCGGGGGGGGGGGGAGATTGTTGCTGCGTTTCTGTCCGGGATTATTTGTATAAAATTGCTATGTGGAAAATGGTTTTTGAAGATGATAAATAGCTGTGGAAGTGCATAAATAATGACATAAGCGCAGTTGAAACGGATTGTATATAAAAGTTTGAAAGGCTTGCAGAGATTTCACTCAACAGTCGCGGGGAAACACGACGGGGAAATTGATGAGGAGAGTGTGTGTGTACAAGTGAGGTAAGAATGTGTGTGTGCAATCAAGTTCAAGGTCTATGCTGTGTGTCTAAGCAGCGGGGCCACAGCTCCCAGCAAATGTAGACACTGAGCAAGATACCATCTGCCTCTGCCCATCTCACGCCAAGAAACACACACACACATTCACAGACACACACACACACATTCACAGACACACACACACATTCACAGACACACACACACATTCACAGACACACACACACACACACATTCAGGGCGCCTTTAAACGCACCATGTACAGCTCAATTCACAACGGAAACACTTTAAGTGCACATACATTTACATTGAAATCCCAGCAACTGTGAATAATTAATTGAAGGCAACAACTCTAGCAAAAAAAAGTCACATTAACCCACGGGGTGTTTCATGTGCGGATCATACACACAGAAAATCTCACGTAAGTGTCAGAGCAGAGTGGATGGTTTTATCATTACGTTACAAGTCCAGTGTTGGAAAACTACAATGAGTCTAAAAATATATGAAACGCCTTCTGCTCCACATCGCTGGGAGCTTCAGGCATCCATCTCTGAGGTGAATGTACAGGATAGTATACAGACTCCAGTGTTGTGTTATAGGATATCACATCTAACGCCTTTGCTTTGAGATTTTTTTTAAATGTTTTTGAAAGAGACCCCACACATGCCGATAAATAAATGATGAATCAATATCTTTAACCTTTGATTAAGTCTTCATTTCTTTTTGATTCACCAGCAATTCAAGTGTTTAGTGTCCTGCAACACTACCGATACCAAATTTTAAAAAAATTCACCCAAAAAAGAGATAAAAACTTTTAGTGGATTATCTTTGCAACTAAATCCTTTAGGAGCAATTAAAGGTGAGCAATCATAGATACCATTTCACAAATTGTTGGGGTGAAGCAATCTGCTGGGCTAACCTACTAGTTATTTATGCAGCTAAACATGTGAAATAAAAGCAACCAGGTTAAAAAGTTCCAGGATTCCCCTTGAGGACTCATTTGTTCTTGAATGATTACTACCACTGTATTTAAATCTATACTGTAAGATAGATTTTTGCTAATTCTTTCTTAGGGTTATTTTATATTCCTTTTGCACCTTTATTTTGCTTTATACTTTTCATTCTTTACTGTACCTATTTAAGACAGAATGAGTGCTGCTGTTCACTTTCTTTCCACGTTCACACTTCCTCTGTGTTCTTTGTCTTTTGCGCCAAAAACACCAAGACAAATTATTTGTATGTTCAAACCTACTTGGCAATAACCTGATTCTGATGAACAGATATCACATGATCTGTCGGTCTTCCACACTACTGACATATCCACATTTTTTCTTGTCTCCTGACCATCTATGTCGCTCTCATGTCGCCCTCTCACAGGAACATTTCCTATATGTTACAGTGCAGAAGTGCTGTGCTATTAGATTATCCTAAAGACACTGAAGCCTCTCTGTCTGTTTGAACCAACGAGTCCATCACATTCCCTGAGGAGGGTGTCTTCAGCGCGGATCAGGGCGCAGGAGAGAGAGTGTGTGTCAGGGGTGTATTTTGATGTAATGCAATCAGTAATGAATTTTGTGTTGCATTAAAGGGGTGGAAAGGGAAGGGGGGGATGTTATATGATGGGGCAGAGGAGGGGGGGAGGGCAAGTACAAGAGGACAAGAGGCGACTGACTACGAGTGTCCGGGAGTCTCCAACAAGTAATCTAATGAAGGAACACAGAGGAAGAGGAGCTGGGGGGGGGGCCGTAAAAAAGAGTGATGAGGAGACAGACAGAAAGAGAGAGAGAGAGCACAGCTACAAACAAGGTTAAAGCCTCACAAAGAGAGAGAGAGAGAGGGAGGGAGGGAGGGAGGAGAGAAAAAGAACGAGGGGGACAGGGCTGGATATGGACGAGGATGTTTTTTTTTTTTTTTTTTTGGGGGGTGATAGTCGATGCTAAATCCATTAGGCCCTTGTGACCCCCCCACTCCACTACCCCAACACCCTCCCTAACCCTGTGGCTATGTCTGAGGAGCTACACCCCCGAACCCGCACACACACACACACACACACACACACACGCCCAGACACACACACACACACACACATTTAAATCAAAGGAACTCTTGTTCACTTAAGGAGGGAGGGGGGAGAAAGAGAGAGCACTGCCGCTTCCTAAACGAGTTAACCATTTGGACTGTCAGGGCCAACGGCATGTCTGCTGGGCGTGCGCACGCACACACACACACACACACACACACACACACACACACACACACACACACACACACACACACACACACACACACACACACACACACACACACACACACACACACACACACACACACACACACACACACACGCAGACAGGAAGCCTCAAAGAAAAGAAAGACATGTGCAGATATGCCAAACCTACAAACACAAAGCTGCACACTTTGCGACAACCAGAACATCCTTCCAGTGGTGGGCCAATCCATCACTGGACCTTCACCTGGCAGCAGTGTATGCTGGGTAATACCAAAGTGCACTGTACACCTTCATAATAACATTTATAATCAAATAGGACAGAAAACATAGACCTAGATCACCAATGATGTTTTGTTAAGTAGGTCTGTCCCGACCCTGCTGTATTTCTGTTTGTTAAATCAATTTCCTCTTTCTTCTTTTTTTTCTTTACAATTCTGGGTGCAGCTAACTCCTGTATTATCCTAACAGAGTCCTATGTTTAACCTCTAAGCCATTTACCTGAGTTTTTATCTAGGGCTGCAACTAATAACCAGCTTGACAATTGACTTGCCTTGACAACTGTTTGGCACAATACCTTCATGGCTCTTATTCAGCTAGCAGTTTTAACATGACTCTTTCAAACTCAAAATACGCCATTAAAAGTATTTACACATCTTGTAGGCGTTCCTTTTGTCATATGAGTAGCAGAGGTTTGTGAATAGCTGAGGGCACAAGAGTAAGTGGTAGAGTGAGCGAGAAGAGAGACGGGGAGTCAGCAACTCAGCTTCAGGAAAGATGTTCTGTCGGCACACAGCCTTAAAAACACACATGATGACTTAACTCACCAATAATGGAAAATTCAATTCCATGGCAACTCATTTTGTCATCACTTTTTCCAATGCACCTCTATTTATTAACATATTCTGGTGGTCAATAGGGTAAGTGATTCATGTCAAGTTAGGTCACTAGTTTTTTAATTTTTTAATTTTCATTTAACAGGTTGAAGGATTTAAAAAAGCTAGTAAGATACAGTTAGCAGTTTATGGCTGTCAAGAACTTTCAGGCTCATACAGAAATCCCCCAAGAAAGATTTCTTTGCAAGAATCCCCTCGCCAATAAAAAATATAGCAAAATAGTTGAGATGCTCTAAGCCAGGACTTATCTGGTGAAGATATGAGAGTGGTGTTTCTGGATGAACAGATTACACATGCATACAGATCAGTGTGTGGAACAGGTCACAGTGTGCGGATCCTTTATCTGGTCGGAAGTTTTCACGGTGGTGCAGCTTATCTCCCTTTTTTCTTATTTTCACTTCAGTTCCTATCAAAACATATTATAAGACCTCTTTCTGAAATGTTTCTTACGAGCCAGGTGTCATGGTCTGATAATACAGTTAGAAGAATAGAGGTTTCATGTAAATGGACACATTAGTGATCGTGTGCAGAGAGCAGGGCGTTCTTTACTGACCTGTAGCTGATCCTACGATGTCCCTAGAGGGGGACTCGGACATGGCATCGGCCAGTCTCTCCCGGAGCCCTTCATCAGTCGCATCTGCCGAGCCGATGTTGTGTCGCGGTACGCCAAAGCTCTCCGGCCAGCTACCACAGACCTCCAGCAGGGTGACGCCTCGCCCGTCAAACACACCTGCATCAAAAATCAAACACAGAGAAAAGACATATGAATCAATATTTACTGTCACATCATTTGTGCAATGTAAGATGGTTTGCAGGACTGACAGCCAGACAGGTGTGACAAGTGTGATCAATTTCTGCTTCTACCCTTACAGGTGCACACATTTTTAATTTTCCACAATGATATGAATCAGGTAAAAACAAACTGGGATTTCACATGTGCTGTAATTCAAAGAATTTTAATTAGGGATGAAGAGGAGCTGATTGTCCTCTATGATGAAATCAAACAAATCATTCGACCAAATCCTTTAAGAAGTATCAAGCAGGGCGCCAATAGCCTATAGCGGTTATGTTGCATGCCCTGTGTAGGGAGGCTACAGTCCTCGTCGCAGCAGCTGTGGTTCAAATCTGACCTTGGCCCTCTGCTGCATGTCATCCCCCACTCTCTTCTCCCAACATTTCCTGTCCCTCTTCAGCTGTCCTATCCAGTAAAAGGCAAAAAGGCTTTAAAAAAACAACTTAAAAAAGAAGAAAAAAAAGCATCAAACAATTGATGTTACAGTTTTAATGTATTTTTTAGGGTAAGTGTCCAAGGACACATCGGACATGTTGTTGCAGGAGCTGGGAATCGAACGCTCAACCTTGTGGTTGAGAGACAACAGACTCGACCACTGATCCACAGTTGCCCCCATTACATTAAGGTATAATCCTTTTGGGAGCATGACATTGTTCACTCTATGCATGTCGATTTGAACAACGGGTGTATCTCTTTTCTTTCAGTAGTAAAATCATAACCCAACGTTTCTACAACACTGCAGCGTTAATGAATTTACTACACACAAGTTCCACTGGAGTTCAGCAGATCAGCTGGTTCAATGGTTCAAAGTCACAGAGACACACTCACACAACAAACAACATGTAAGCACAACACAATCTTCATGCCTGTCAAACCAAATCGACACAGACCTGCACTGCACCTTAATCTCTCTCCTTTCTGTCTGTCGTAATTTCTGCAATCACAGAGATCTTGTGCTCTGGAGCCAGAAAGTCTGCAACCTGTTTCTGTGTGTGTGTGTGTGTGTGTTTGTGTGTGTGTGTTTATGTGAGGCAGGCAGGCAGGCATGCAGACACTAAAATAACAGGTTTATTCTATTAGTGTGTTCATTTGACGAGGTCAGCGTGCCTGCCAGCACTGAGAGGTGATAATGGCTGAAGAAAGAGGAGGTTTAGCAGTGATGTTGGGAAAATGCTCAACCACACAAACACATGATCTCTGTTTATCATCATCATCAGTCCAGTTGTGCATCTCTCTGCTTGTTAACATCCAGGAGATATGAGTGGGAAACAGAGAGTAACTGATTCAAACTGGTGCATCTTTATTATATCCTTTTTTTTGAATGTAACTTTTATCCCGCTGGGAAATCCTGCACAAGTGTCCTTATGAAGATAACGTATCAAAGGAACACAAAAAAACTGCCTATAGCTCAAACACTAAAAATGGGGGAAACTGCTTTCCTTGCTCTCTTAAACTTAAAAAACAGACAACTTCCTTTTGTCCAACATGTTGTTGACAATCATCCACTGATGAAAGAAATATCCTGTTTGTTGGAAATCAAAGAACCTTTAACTTAGCTCTGGTGCTCCTTATCATTTGACAAAACATCTGCTTTAGAAAGAATGAAGGGAGATAAATCAGTAGATGTCAGACCATTTGACCGCATTAAACTACCTTTTTTGGTTTTCCTAATACGATAGCATCAGTGTGGTTGAAAGCTGTATCTTAAGGCTAAGCCAAATTAAACTCTCAAAGAATATACATGGAAATCAACATAAACAATACATAGGATATTCCAATAAGTGTGATTCTGAAGGCAAACAAACACAATTTAAAAAAAAGAAAACAGGTCATATAATCAAAAGTTCATGATGTCTGCACTTTTTTGGCTTTTTCCTCTTGACTTCAGATGTAAACACATGTTCTGGGATGACTGACTGCGGCATGACCAAAAATGCATCACAACACAAAACTCACACCAGAGACTGTAAAAATACGGATTACATGACAGCACCTCAAAAGTGAAGAAAAAAACATTTGGAGGAACTAACGTAACGAACACTAACACACGAGTCATCGAACTTTCTATCATATTAATGATGTGTACTATTATAACACAGCCAAAGAAACATATACAATACAAGCAAGAGTTATTAAGTGGAAACTGAAATTTATGACTCATGAGTTCTTTTTCAACATGTTATCAGGAGCTGAATAAGTGTTGGACCTTCTAACCCAAATTCAAACAGTATTTTGAATCTTGTAAAAAAAAAACTCAACACAAACTGTATTCTTACATCTTGTAAATGCTTTTTGTGTGTCTCTCTCTCTTTCTCTCTCTCTCTCTCTCTCTCTCTCAGACATGTGGACAGACACAGGAATGTTTCTGGTCTTGTGGGTATCAGCAAAACCCCGAGTGAGAACGCAGACAGGACTACATCAAAGGATGAAGTGAAGACAAGGACAGAAGAGATCCTCTTTTCCTGGAAACATCAGCGTCCAAGTGCACAATCTGTGTGTGTGTGTGTGTGTTTGTCTGTGTGTGCATGAAGTACAGGATGCAAGAAAGGACATAGATTGAGGGAGACGAAAATATGTTTAAGTACTCATTTTCAGATGACCAAAACATCAAAGATAAGGAATCTTTTTTTTTTACTGAAGAGAAAGAGTCACAATTACAATACATTAGGTTAGTATAACAACAAACAACAACATAAATGAATACACTACTAAAAGTGAAATCTATGATCCATGAGAAATTAATTTAAAATCTGTGTTTTGTTTTTGTCTGAATTGAAAGTTTCTACACTCAAGTATTGTATTTGTTTCAAGCTTTTAGACTTGAAGATTTAGAAACTTTCCATAGAAGAGGTCAGACTAACTGATCTAGCTGTCCAGCACACAGAGGGTCAAATGATGAGGTGCAAAGATTGATACATTCAACTTGGATTGGCTGTCAGAAAGAAAGAAGGAAAAGTGGCAAAAGGAACCTAGAGGGAACCTTAACAGACACTTAAGGGTTCCTTGAAATAGGCGCAGAAAGTGACTGCACCAGAGCTGTTGGATGGTACACCCTGAAACAGACAGAGATGCTTGATGGTACTCTAACACCAAATGAAACCTTGAAACATACTCAATCCTTCATCACAAAGACTTGTGCGGGACGCTTTGCAGAGATTGATTGAATGAAATTTTAAAGTACATATAGGCATGTTAAAGCTCAACCAAACTGTCCACTGGAGGTTAAAGTGGGTCTTCGTTTTGTAAGCAATGAGCAACACTTCACTCAGTCACACTAAGATGTCTGGGATGACATCCCAGTAATGCAGCATTAGATCAACCACAGTGCAGGAAAAAATAACATCATATCACCTCACAGGCAAAGCACATGGCTGTTGTTGGACACACACACACACACACACACACACACACACACACACACACACACACACACACACACACACACACACACACACACACACACACACACACACACACACACACACACACACACACACACACACACACACACACACACACACACACACACACACACACACGTCGCCCAGGCTCTCGTGGCCAGCTTTGATGGAGGGCCTGCTGGCACTAAAGGGGAATCCTTTGAAAAATCAATCCAACACACACACACACAGGCTGCTTCTGAAGTGCAGCAAAGTTATCAGGAAGCTCAGCCACCTCATGTGTGTGTGGCAGTGTGTGTGTGTGTGTGTGTGTGTGTGTGTGTGTGTGTGTGGCAGTGTGTGTGTGTGTGTGTGTGTGTGTGTGTGTGTGTGTGTGGTGTGTGTGTGTGTGTGTGTGTGTGTGTGTGTGTGTGTGTGTGTGTGTGTGTGTGTGGCAGTGTGTGTGTGTGTGTGTGTGTGTGTGTTTGTGTTGCTTCTGGAGGTCGGTCAGTGTTATCACAGGAGGGAGCATGGAGGCCCGTGCAGCCTCTCGCCCCGGCATTAGCACCTGTCACTGGCCTGCAGCGGGGCTGAGACTGGCCAGACCTCAGGGTACACACACACACACACACACACACACACACTTACACACACACACATAGAAAAACACACATACACAGTAGTCTGCTCTCTGATAGCTGGTGAGCCAGGAAGATCAAAGGTTTTGACAGCAGTGTTTTTTTCTACATAATAAGAGCTTGACAGAAGGTTAGGAAGAGCTGCGGGTTTATCAGAGCAGCTTTGACCCATACGAGTATTTGAAGGCCGATACTGATCGCTGAGACTGAAACTTTCAGTTGCTGAGAGTCTGTGATTTTTCTTTTGTACTTCCAGATTTTCTTAAATGTGGAAAACTGTTTTCTGGGTTTATCATCAGACTCTCCTGACAGAGACCTGGCTCTGTTTGGATCCTCAAAGGACTCCTCAGCTCTCCTTTCACACATTCAAACAGCTCTGTGGACATGGCGTCAGGAAAATAACGTTTTCTCAAAAACTGAAGGCACCAACTCTAATACGCTTCAAAGCTGGTTGCATGAACTAATTATGGTCATTATTTAAATGTCAACATTAATGAGGGGAGTGTTGGGCCAGTTTTTTGGACTTCGCGACAACATTTGTAGTTATATATTGATGTGTTTTAGCATATGTCCATTATGACCGATTTGCATTTAACAAATACATGATGATGACATGAATCCATATAAATGCTTTTGTGTCCTTTACACAAAGTTTGGGGGATTTTCTTTTAGATTTTTGTACCACTCCCCCCTCTGTGTTAATGTGGAGTGGGAGTGTGTGAGTAGATTTCAGGGGCTTATGATATGGAGCGAGTTCATCATAGGATGTTGATTACATGGCTTCACTAACCCTGACACCAGAGATAAAGTTAAACAATCACACAAAGCTTGTTATCAACCTGAAAACTAAAAAAAATATATGAAAATGTGCTGTAGTGGTGTAGAAATGCTAAAGTTATGTTTACAAAGGGCATTT